AATAAAATAATCTATTTTATTTGAGTCAGGCGTGTATGCCGGCGCCCTGGTAGGGTGATATTTCGCTGTAATTCATTTTTTTTAATAATCAGAAAAAAAATTAATCAAGTTTGGATTATCAAATGGGATTTTTCTTTTTAAAAAAATCCAAACAGTTTCGTTCTTTGCGAATGATGCAATTAGCTTATATTTTTAGACGATACAATCAGAAACTGAGATCAAGCATCGAATAATAGACCATTAGTAATGCTCACATATTGTGGCAGCCACGCTGTTGTTTAAAACATGTCAAATACATTTTTAAAATACATTTAAAAAAATCCTGCTCATTTGTGACACTTAAGCGAATGACGCAATCTGCATCATTGTTAAGTGGAAACTATTTGGCACTCTGGGTTATCCTATGAGCACTATGGCGCCTATGTTAGTTTCAATTAACCAAGGGCCGTACGCGGCGCCTCTGCTGTAGTGTAATTGGGGGCACCTAAGAGCGCCCCTCCACGTGTGTTTTGCCTCATTATTTTGCTGAGTGATTAACGAACACGCAAGGTTTTCATTTGGTAGTGTAGGTAAACCCGTGTGTCCGATAATTATGTTTTAAGCGCAGGCATTTTTTATGTTTAAATAAATTAGTTTTAGAAAACAAGTTCACGCGTCTAAGAACATAGAATCGGTAACACATTGATGCAATTCTTCTTATATATTTAGTCAGACTATCTTATACCCGGGACGGGTACGCTAGTATCTAAATATATATATATATATATATATATATATATATATATATATATATATATATATATATATATATATATATAAAATTCTCTTCTGGGAGCCGTTAGAAAACAAGCTGCAAGCGCGCGCCTTGCAGTCCCCTCTCTTCCTCTCTACCGCTACCCCCCCCCCCCCCTCACTTGGTCAGGTGAGTGTAGTTCACGCTAAGCTAAATGTTTAGTTTGGTGACGGCTATTAGGGGCAGATAATTCAGTTTGAAACTATTTTAAACTCAGAGGAGGTAACTAAGAGGTGACTGCTTTCACGGGGGGGGGGGGGGGGGGGGGTTAATGTTTTAAAGCAAATATTTTCAGTGGCAGCATTGGTACTGTCGAATTCACAAATTATGAATTACTGAAAAGTAGAAAAAACAACAACTAAATAGCGGCGTATGTTATGCCGCGGGCCGGCTCGTATATATATAATTCTCTTCTTGAAGACGTTAGAAAACAAGCTGCAAGCGCGCCTTGCAGTCTCCTCTCCTCCTCTCTATCACTACCACCCCGACCCCCCACTTGGTCTGATGAGCTGTGGTTTACGCTAAATGTTTACAATCATAGAGCCGGGTTTAGTGACGGCTATTAGGGACAGATAATTTAGTTTAAAACGATTTTAAACTTAGAGGAGGTAACTAAGAGGAGGCTGCATTCACAGGGGGGGGGGGTGTAGGGTAGGGGTTGGGGGAAAGGAGTGGTTAGTGTTTTAAAGCAAATATTTTCAGTGGCAGCATTGGTACTGTTGAATTCGCAAATTATGAATTACTGTAAAGTAGAAAATAAAACAACTAAATAGAGGCGTATGATACGCCGCGGGTCGGCTCGTATATATATATATATTTATATAAAGCTAAAACACAAATATCTCTTAATTTTAGGTGTTGGCAAGTTGTTTTTTAGTTGGACAGATACTAGGAGTCTAGATTGATTAGATTAAATATTGAAAACTTTCTGTTACCTTAAAAAACTGTTGAGAAAAAAATTGTTTGCTCTCTTTTTTAAGTATTTTTTTTTACCTGAGCCTACCATCTTAAGCAAGCCTAAATAAAATAAATCAATATATTTTCATCGGGTTCAAAACACATCATGTCAATGTTAAAATTTTTGTTTATATTTCCGTCACAGAAAATACACAGTGCCAAATAACAACACAAGCGATTGGTTCTAATTCATTATTATTGATTAATGTATTATTTATTTGCGGTTCAATCTCAGAAAATACTTCAGAAAGAAATCGATGTTTTTAAAAGGCAAAAACACGTATTGTAAGTTGAGGCGTGACTTCTTTGTAGATGTGAATGTTAAAGTTGCCTTTCGGGACTTGGCGGGACACAGGGCAGGTAAAGTAGAGTTCACCTGTTTTTGTGACCTCAGGGTATGAAGGGGTAGCGTTGTTAGACACATGTTCAGCAAAAATCGTTGTTTTGAAAAACTAAATTATGTTGTCTGAGGTGTGAAGTCTTTTTAAAAGTGGGGTCTACATAAACTGTGTGAAAGGGGGAGGGGAAAGTTAAAAATCGTCAAACAAATGTAACATCATTTGTGGATGACCGCCGAAATGCACAGTTATCCAAGGATAATGGATTGTCTAGCTTTAGTTTAAATTTACCAACAACATTATTATATTTTCATAATTATTTTTTTTGGGTCTGATAACGCCTGCTAAATATATAGTGTAATGACATAGAAATAAATCTGTGTTCTCAGAAACAGTAGTCGAAACTTTTAAAAGTAAACGCAAATTATTAATTTTGGTTTTTTTTATACATGTTGGGAATAAAATGTATAATAAGCGTTGATTGATAAAGTGCATTAGGATAGGTAGAACACAGGTTTTTAAAAATTAATCTATTTTATTCGTTTTATACAATGTATGTACACTAATTCTTATTATTAATAAAAAATAGTTTAGAAACTATTCCGAAGTGTCCACTATGTTTACGTTTATGTTTGCGTTTACGCTTGCTTAGACATTAATGTTTGCTTTTATATTTTCGTTTCCCTTTTTGTTATAGTTTATGTTTCCGTTTGCATTGTTTTCTGGTCTGTTTGGTTTATGCTTCCATTTGCGTTATTGTTTGCGTTTATGAATGCGTTTGTGTTTTCATTTCAGTTTGAATTGATGTTTGCGTTAATATTTGCGTTAATGTTTACTTTAATGTTTGTGTTTGTCTTTGCATTTATGTTTGCGTTTATATTATAAACCTAATAAGTAACAATTTCGACTCAATGTCTTTGACCGTTAACTAGATTGGAATAATTAATCTTTTTAAACCTGCCAGTAATTGTTTAATAAAAAAATAGTATGCTAAATGTGTAGTGTCGTTGTGATGACCCAAGATTTAATTATATTCCATAGATAAGCGAGAAGTAGGATAGCGTAGGTCAACTAGACATTGGTCAACAGAACTAATAGAATACATTGGAACGAACTGATCATTCACGTGAGATGTTCAGCTGACCACCGAAGCGTCCGTTGGGAGATAGGTAGCGCTCTCGGAGTTAGGCATTTATATTAGACAGTGTAGAAAGCTTTATATCTGTGCATTTGATGTGTTAGTTTTTAACCATCATCAACCTCCCCCACCACTTTTCAGTCCGAGGGCCGCATTAACTATCACATTTCAGTTCGGGGGCCAGATTTTTGCAAGCATGTCTTTCATTTTTCTGGGAAAAGTTCCTCAGCAATCACCGACAAACAATTTTTCCTTGGAAAAAAAAGATCTCCGCGGGCCGGATGAGGGGACTTCGCGGGCCGCATCCGGCCCACGGGCCGTAGTTTGGAGACCCCTGGTATAGAGCAATGCTTTGTTCCATTGATTGAACTCACCTATTCCTGCGAGCAAGAATATTAATAACAACTACGCTATACATTTTTTCCTTCAAAGAAGGCTATACAATTTTAGTATCTCTTAAAAGATCATTTCTTTGAGAAATTAGTATATTATATGTACTGTAGTGGCATAATTACGTAATGACAGAAGGTAATTGAGAGGTGGATGATAACTGCGTGTTGAGTTAAAGTGAGGAAGGTGATGGACCAGGAAAAAAAAACATGTCACACTCAGTTAAAAATTAGATTGAAATTAGTGTTGTGCTCTTGTTTATAAAATTCTTCAGACTTTAAATTGGGTTTATACATTTTTGGTGATCCATTACATATTATGTAACATTAAATGTGTGTGTGTGAGTGTGTGTGTGTGTGTGGGGGGGGGGTAATATTCTGATTTATTTTCCCAATTCATATCAACAGCAAGGATACATGGCAATTTTAATACAATTTTTCATTTAGTTGTATAAAAATACACGAATCTTATTGGTGTAGCATTTTAAAACTTAATAACAGCATTTACCAGAACTGAGTGTTAGAAGATATTACGATTTTTTATTTTAAGGGATTTCAAAAGAACCAGCATTTCACCCAAACACAGCCTTTTACAGTGTCTAAAAACAATGAGATATGAAGACCAATGAAATCAAAAGCGGAATGTCTATATATGTTTTTCTGTGAATTAATAACTGCTATTTGAAAAATAATATTCAAAACCTTTCGAAGTTTAATGGTGGTGGGGTGGTAGTGGGGATTTCCTGGTTTCGGATTTATGATTCACAATATATATATATATATATATATATATATATATATATATATATATATATATATATATATATATATATATATATATATATATATATATACATACACACATTTATATATATATATATATATATATATATATATATATATATATATATATATATATATATATATATATATATATATATATATATATATATATATATACATACACACATTTATTTCATTTATAAACGTATTTGTTAAGAAAAATAAGATCATATATTCAGACTCTTTTGCTATGCAAATAACATATACCAATGGTCCAGATATCAAGCATTTTATTTATATTTTCAAATTGTGTATAACCTTAATTTGATATATTAAAACATTTCCATTCACATGAATCTTAGTATACACATATTGTTTACTAACCACAAATATCTATAGCTACAAATCTCTAGATTATAAGTTAAATAAAAAACTATAAAAATGTAATTTGCTAAATAATTTTATAGCTATATTATTATTTTAAAAAGTCGTGAGATACAATTGATTAAATATATTGAAAATATGTACTCAATTATGGAATTATGTTTTTTTAAGAAATAAAACAAACAAAAGCCAGCACTGTAAAATCGTACATCAGTAAATTACTTAATATTTGTTTTAGACTGATACCATAGCATTTCAATGGAGCAAAAATACTCTTCATCATATTTTCGTTTAATTCCTTGGAAATTTAACACAACACTTGTTATGTTAATATCTTGAGATGATGCATGTCCCTTAATAGGTGTGGTATTTTCTGTTTCTTTGATTTTCTCTTCTACAAAATGACGTGCTTGTTTAAGATTCATCAACACGTTACTAACCGATTCCTTCACATTTTCTGTTTTTGATAAACGCGACTCAAAACAGACCATTTCTTCCAACATTTCTTTATATTCAGTTTTTGTGGTCTTAGAGTCTGCTTTACTAATTTTATCTAATATGCAACTCTGTGTTTTTACATCATCCTTGGCTACACTTAACACCTTTGTGTCTATCATCTGTTTGTAGAATATCTGTGCTTTTTTGAAATGCTCATTTGTGTACCTATTGCCATTTGATTTTAATTTGACAACCATGTCAACCAAATTCTGTCTCTGCTCGTATTTTGTTTTATCATCAGGATTCAGATTATTAAAAATAACAACCCTGCCTCGACATTCATCCAGTAAATCTTTAATGTTTCCTGTTGCACTGTCTAACAAGTCTTTCAAGCTTTTTCCATCGCGTTTTAATTCATCTCCATGAGTGAATACAACTATGCCATAGATGTTCAAAAAATCACTCCCCAAAATATTTTTAAGAATCTTTATGGCTTCTACATCGTAGTATGTGAACCGACCTCCATAATTCACAACAATAATAAACGAATGAAAACCTTTGGGATTTGTCAAAATAGCAGAAGTTAGAGCAGCCTTAACCAACGTTTCACCATCTTTAGGCTTTAACTCTGTATCAAAAACACCAGGACAATCAACAACTTGTATTCTGTAATTTAGAAAATCGCAAGCATCATTTTCCGGAAACTTGGTAACAGAATTAAAATTGCCGCTGGATGCAAATGCATTTTTTTTATCCAGTATGGAATTGCCAGTTGCGCTTTTGCCAGTTCCAGTATTACCAATTAAAATCAGGTCTAATTCTTGAAGTGACTGTAAAAAGTTTGAAAAATGTATTTATTGCTAAATATAAAAAAAAACAGCCTTATTATTTATAAAACGTATGTGTCACTTCCGACTGTAGGCTATCAAAAAGTAAGTACTTATGGCAAAATGAGGTTTTGAGTTGAGTTAACCTAGCTTAGACCCTAGTTTTAACGGCTTTTTCGAGGTTTTCCCGTTGGACACACTTTTTTCTTCCTTATCCCCGGGGATCGGTGTACGACCTCATAAAATATCAGTTGGTCTTCGAGATGAAAATGTCTTTCGATTTATACCTCATATAAGGTGAATTTAGGCTTGACCACCGGGTATGCACCTAACGCACTGTACACTCTACAGGTGCATAAAGGGGAGGTAAACATTAATGGCTTCTTTGCTCTATTTTTGGTCTGAATATCAGGGCCATTGATTCTACTCCTACATGCATTGTTCTTCAATATTTTACCTAAATCATATTTTATTTACCGTAACATTTCTATCATACATTGCCAGGGTCAAGTGGTCATCGGACCAGGTTATTACCATTACAATTTTAAGGCTGTAAACTGCGTATCCTAAAATCTTTTTGAATCTTACCTACTGTTTTTCACATCAATTACAATAATTATAAAAGGTAACATAACTGGTCAGTTTTGACAGCTTTAACGATTTTTCCTAGAAAGGAAAAGTTGTTTTCTGGCATGCATGGGCTTGGTCTACAATCTCACAACATACCACGGGGGGGGGGGGGGGGGGGGAAGGGGTCGTTGAGTAAAACTGTTTTTCGATATCTAGCTTATATAAGCTCGTTGAGGATGTAGACGCTAAAAGATTTTTCCCCCTGTGCTCTTTTTGTCAGAAACGGATGCCTGCTAAATTCATAGCGCATATGGCGCCGTCAAGTGCCGCGACCAGCACCCGAAGACTTTAATATATATATCTATATATATATATATATATATATATATATATATATATATATGTACACATTCTTTTCGCGCCATAAGGTTAGTTTATCTTACTGATCGAGTAAATACGCTGGAAAAGAAAAGCAAATGTTGATTTTTTTACATAGTATTATACTACAAAAACATCAATCAGGGGCTTAAAATCAATCTAAGTTTTTTATTATACAAATTAGATTCGACGTACCTTCCGTGTATACATAGTTTGAGCTGGATTTGATTTTCTGTACTTGAAAAAAAAACAACTATAGATCTACTAGTCAATTTAACTTCAGCCAACCTCTACTGCTAAGCGCAGTTCTATATAAAATGATTGCACTAGGAACTGAGTCAGCCGCGCAGAACCAGTGACGTGAGAATAAGCAGTTACGGTTAAACTGTGGGTTGGCGTGGTTGTATTTTGTTGGCGTACCCTGTGTTTTACATTGGTTGATGTATTCACCTTTTGTAATTATTTCATTACGTCACGATATAATGTGAAAGTTTTTTTTTCAATTTGTATTAACAGGTTGATATATATATATATATATATATATATATATATATATATATATATATATATATATATATATATATATATATATATATATATATATATATATATATATATATATATATATATATATATATATATATATATATATATATATATATATATATATATAAAGCAATGTATGTGTGTCTGTGTGTCTGTCTGTGTGTCTTTTATGCATTACCACACCTCTTATCACATCGCCGTGAAACTTTGGGAAATTGTTGAGAATATTCCTGGGGAGGTTTTTGCGAAAAAAATAATTCAAAATTCGCAGGGTTGGCGACCCGGCAGGGCGAAATTTGTTTTCCTCTATATACGGTATATAAAAATAAAAGTCTTTTTTGATTTCACACTGTTCATCCGATAGGCATGAAACTTTGGGGAGTTGATTAGAACACTCCAGGGAAGGGTTCTGTCCAAAAAATCATTTTTAATTTGGCAAGGGCGGCGCCACGGGAGGGTGCGATTCTTCTCTACTCTACTCTACTCTACTCTACTCTACTCTACTCTACTCTACTCTACTCTACTCTACTCTACTCTACTCTACTCTACTCTACTCTACTCTACTCTACTCTACTCTACTCTACTCTACTCTACTCTACTCTACTCTACTCTACTCTACTCTACTCTACTCTACTCTACTCTACTCTACTCTACTCTACTCTACTCTACTCTACTCTACTCTACTCTACTCTACTACTCTACTCTACTCTACTCTACTCTACTCTACTCTACTCTACTCTACTCTACTCTACTCTACTCTACTCTACTCTACTCTACTCTACTCTACTCTACTCTACTCTACTCTACTCTACTCTACTCTCTACTCTACTCTACACTACTCTACTCTACTCTACTCTACTCTACTCTACTCTACTCTACTCTACTCTACTCTACTCTACTCTACTCTACTCTACTCTACTCTACTCTACTCTACTCTACTCTACTCTACTCTACTCTACTCTACTCTACTCTACTCTACTCTACTCTACTCTACTCTACTCTACTCTACTCTACTCTACTCTACTCTACTCTACTCTACTCTACTCTACTCTACTCTACTCTACTCTACTCTACTCTACTCTACTCTACTCTACTCTACTCTACTCTACTCTACTCTACTCTACTCTACTCTACTCTACTCTACTCTACTCTACTCTACTCTACTCTACTCTACTCTACTCTACTCTACTCTACTCTACTCTACTCTACTCTACTCTACTCTACTCTACTCTACTCTACTCTACTCTACTCTACTCTACTCTACTCTACTCTACTCTACTCTACTCTACTCTACTCTACTCTACTCTACTCTACTCTATCTACTCTTACTCTACTCTACTCTACTCTACTCTACTCTACTCTACTCTACTCTACTCTACTCTACTCTACTCTACTCTACTCTACTCTACTCTACTCTACTCTCTACTCTACTCTACTCTTCTCTACTCTACTCTACTCTACTCTACTCTACTCTACTCTACTCTACTCTACTCTACTCTACTCTACTCTACTCTACTCTACTCTACTCTACTCTACTCTACTCTACTCTACTCCACTTCACTCCACTCCACTCCTACCTCTACCTCTACCTCTACCTCTACCTCTACCTCTACGTCTACCTCTACCTCTACCTCTACCTCTACCTCTTCCTCTTCCTCTACCTCTACCTCTACCTCTACCTCTACCTCTAACTCTACCTCTACCTCTACCTCTACCTCTACCTCTACCTCTACCTCTACCTCTACCTCTACCTCTACCTCTACCTCTACCTCTACTCTACTCTACTCTACTCTACTCTACTCTACTCTACTCTACTCTACTCTACCTACTACTCTACTCTACTCTACTCTACTCTACTCTACTCTACTCTACTCTACTCTACTCTACTCTACCCTACCCTACCCTACCCTACCCTACCCTACCCTACCCTACCCTACCCTACCCTACCCTACCCTACCCTACCCTACCCTACCCCTACCCTTACCCTACCCTACCCTACCCTACCCTACCCTACCCTACCCTACCACTACTCTACTATACTCTACTCTACTCTACTCTACTCTACTCTACTCTACTCTACTCTACTCTACTCTACTCTACTCCTACTCTACTCTACTCTACTCTACTCTACTCTACTCTACTCTACTCTACTCTACTCTACTCTACTCTATCTACTCTACTCTACTCTACTCTACTCTACTCTACTCTACTCTACTCTACTCTACTCTACTCTTACTCTACTCTACTCTACTCTACTCTACTCTACTCTACTCTACTCTACTCTACTCTACTCTACTCTACTCTACTCTACTCTACTCTACTCTACCTACTCTACTCTACTCTACTCTACTCTACTCTACTCTACTCTACTCTACTCTACTCTACTCTACTCTACTCTACTCTACTCTACTCTACTCTACTCTACTCTACTCTACTCTACTCTACTCTACTCTACTCTACTCTACTCTACTCTACTCTACTCTACTCTACTCTACTCTACTCTACTCTACTCTACCTACTCTACTCTACTCTACTCTACTCTACTCTACTCTACTCTACTCTACTCTACTCTACTCTACTCTACTCTACTCTACTCTACTCTACTCTACTCTACTCTACTCTACTCTACTCTACTCTACTCTACTCTACTCTACTCTACTCTACTCTACTCTACTCTACTCTACTCTACTCTACTCTACTCTACTCTAATCTACTCTACTCTACTCTACTCTACTCTACTCTACTCTACTCTCTACTCTACTCTACTCTACTCTACTCTACTCTACTCTACTCTACTCTACTCTACTCTACTCTACTCTACTCTACTCTACTCTACTCTACTCTACTCTACTCTACTCTACTCTACTCTTCTCTACTCTACTCTACTCTACTCTACTCTACTCTACTCTACTCTACTCTACTCTACTCTACTCTACTCTACTCTACTCTACTCTACTCTACTCTACTCTACTCTACTCCACTTCACTCCACTCCACTCCTACCTCTACCTCTACCTCTACCTCTACCTCTACCTCTACGTCTACCTCTACCTCTACTCTACCTCTACCTCTTCTCTTCCTCTACCTCTACCTCTACCTCTACCTCTACCTCTACTCTACCTCTACCTCTACCTCTACCTCTACCTCTACCTCTACTCTACTCTACCTCTACCTCTACCTCTACTCTACTCTACTCTACTCTACTCTACTCTACTCTACTCTACTCTACTCTCTCTACTCTACTCTACTCTACTCTACTCTACTCTACTCTACTCTACTCTACTCTACCTACCCTACTCTAACCCTACCCTACTCCTACCCTACCCTACCCTACCTCTACCCTACCCTATACCCTACCCTACCCTACCCTACCCTACCCTACACTACTCTACTATACTCTACTCTACTCTACTCTACTCTACTCTACTCTACTCTACTCTACTCTACTCTACTCTACTCTACTCTACTCTACTCTACTCTACTCTACTCTACTCTACTCTACTCTACTCTACTCTACTCTACTCTACTCTACTCTACTCTACTCTACTCTACTCTACTCTACTCTACTCTACTCTACTCTACTCTACTCTACTCTACTCTACTCTACTCTACTCTACTCTACTCTACTCTACTCTACTCTACTCTACTCTACTCTACTCTACTCTACTCTACTCTACTCTACTCTACTCTACTCTACTCTACTCTACTCTACTCTACTCTACTCTACTCTACTCTACTCTACTCTACTCTACTCTACTCTACTCTACTCTACTCTACTCTACTCTACTCTACTCTACTCTACTCTACTCTACTCTACTCTATCTACTCTACTCTATCTACTCTACTCTACTCTACTCTACTCTACTCTACTCTACTCTACTCTACTCTACTCTACTCTACTCTACTCTACTCTACTCTACTCTACTCTACTCTACTCTACTCTACTCTACTCTACTCTACTCTACTCTACTCTACTCTACTCTACTCTACTCTACTCTACTCTACTCTACTCTACTCTACTCTACTCTACTCTACTCTACCTAC